TTGTCTGTTTCTAATGGAGGAGGAGAGTGTGGAGATGTTCAGTAGAAAGGGGCTGTGATGTACCCTGAGAGTTCACATAAGCCTTTGTTTTGATGGTGATACTGAAGATCCCAGCACACAATAATGCTATATTTCTTGCTGAGCAGAAATGTACATGGCAATTTACCTGTTATTTCTTAGCTGTAGTGATGGGAATGAGAAGTATTACCTGAGAAAAGTTTCATTTTCATATTCTTATCTGTCTAATATTAGATGAAATCTCAAGTGAAGGAAGTTTCGCCCTGATTATAAAGTTTTTATACCACTACAGTTTTATCCGTTTCAAACATGGCACATTTAAGATAGAAGATCCTCATATGATAAACACCGTTTACATGTTCCAGAAGCTACTATGGTAGTGGGAATAAGATAGGCCGATATTATAAAATTGTTATTGAGATAATGATGCTTAACATAATAGGATTAACATGCTTTAAGTATGTTGATTTTTAAATTGCTAGTTGTGGTAGCCCTTAATATATGTAGATTAATGCTTAATGTGACATACATATACTTGCTTTATAATCTAAGATGGAACTGTAGGTATTAATTAAACACATTAACTCTTGTGAATAGAAGGTTTATTTTTGCATCATAAGTTTAAGTAGTATTTACTACTATAAGAAAACATCTATCCAGATCAGTTAAAACTGAATTTATGGAGAGTTCACTGAAGTATTATTTAAAGCTGTGACTCTGTATCCTCAAAGTCCAGTCTGATGTTAATTTCTTCTTCTCTTTGTAAAACATACATTTAATTAGGCAGCAGTGGGTGGAGCAAGTAGCTCTGAGCAACTGGATAATTCTTGTCTGTGGGATTGGATGTGGTCTTTGCCTTTTAGATTAAACTGAGCGTCTCGTGCACAAGGCCCATCTATATTGTGGGATCTGTCCTGAGTTCTGGTCTAGTTTAGTTGTAATTGAGTTAATGTAATAGAAATAATTGTTAATTTTTCTGTGCTGCTGGCTGTAATTCCACGGCAGAGTAGGTCTGCGTGTGGCGTGCCTGTAGCAGGTGCCTGGTTTTAAGAATTGCATTTGATGACTGAGTGTTGTGGATGGATTTCTTGGTGGTGGAAGGTTCTCCATGCTTTGCCATTTATTCAGTGAAGTTGTTGAAACACTTTCTTAGTTCTTTATTATTTAACATTTATTGTTTTTCTTCAAAACTAATTTTAAATTGCTGAAACCAATAAATGACATGAACTTAATTTTTGCATGTGTAGGAGACTGAACTTAAGACATAATTTTATGTTCGATACCAGCCTTAGCTCTTTCTCCTGGGCCTTACAGACTTGTTGTCTGTGTTGTAAGTCGTTCTCAAAAGTGTTGAACAATGAGTATTATTCAGAAGTCTCCAGGAAATAACACCCATCCTTTTTTTTTTTTTTTTTCCACCCTGTAAACAAAGTTAAAATTGGGGAAAACTTGAACTGATCCAGGAAACAGGCCTTGCTGTTTGTTAACAACTTCATTCTTTGCATGTGCTTTCCCAGTGTGCTCCACCCCTACCCCTTCGAGTCGTTTTGTCAAGTTTTATTCAAGTTTCAGTCTGGTTTCTGCCATTCTTCAATGATAAACTCAACAGGGTGGAGCCCGATTTTTTGGGGCTAAGACAGTGCAAGTCAGGACTAACGGGGAACATACCAGGTTTTAATCAGTATAAAAGAGCATCTAAGCCAGAGCTTTGACTGTGTTAAATCCATTTATGAACATCTTTGGCTCAGGCAGGGTTATGCCAACTGTTTGATGAAACGTAGCACCATTTTCCTTCAGATAAGCGACATGAAGAAAAATGTGAAAACATTTAAGTCTAGGCTTTCTAGCTGAACCTGTTCTCTGCGTACATCTTCCATCTGACTTGAGGCAGGGGTGGGAAGGAAGCCTTCCAGTGAAATCTGTTGGTTTTTTCATTCTCTGAGCTGTTAGAGCTGCGTTTGGACTGTGAATCCTTCTGTTATCACAGGTGCTGGTAAACCTGTATTGCTGAGTTGTTACTGTTGGATTTAAGGTGTTGATTGCCATATGTCAGGTAACTCAGGGGTGTCTGTTAGTTTTTTAGGCTTTTTTTTTTAGTTAATTCATCATTATTTTTCTCACAAACAGATTTTTTTTTTTTTTTTAAAGCAAATCTAAGCTAACAAGACCTATGACTTGGTTCTGCTAAATGCAAGTTCATAAGATTGAAAGCAAAAAGGTGTTTGATCAGCTGTTTTAGAGGAGGCATCTTAAGATCTGGTCCATTATTGGTCACTAAATTAATTTCACAGTTCTCTGAAGGATCATCAAGAACCACACAACAGTTCAGGCTGGAAGGAGTGCGTGGAGGGTATCTAGTCCACCCTCCTGCTCAGGGGGGGTCCAACTAGGTAAGGTTGCTCAGGGCTTTCTCCTCTTGAGTTTGGAATATCTCCAAGGATGGAGAGTCCACAGCCTCTCAGCACCCCCAGTCTGCTCTTTGTCCAACCTCCTAATTAAAATAGTTTTGCCTTGTAAGTGATGGGAATTTCCTGTTCTTGAAAATTTGTTTTTAAGCAAAGCTGAAACCTTGGTTTTAAACAAGGTTTTTTACTTCCTCTGTGCTTTTCTCAAACTGTTCATGATGTTGTATGCAATACTGGGATGAGTATGGAGGATTTCTCAGAAAATCTGATATACCATGCGTTTTCCTTTGCCCTTCAGTAATTTCATTTGTGCAGCAGCAAAATCACAGTTGCCAGTGGCTGTATTCACTTCTAGAATCTTTTTGATCACTTGGCTTACTTGAGCTTCTCCATGCTGTACATTAATGTTACTTTTTTTTTTTTTTTGGTAAAAAATGAAAACTCAGTGCCTTTTAGAAGTCAAGTGTATCAACCGTAGAGGACGTTCTCAATGAAATAATATTCTTGCAAGCTGAGATGTTTGTATCTTGGTGTTTTAGAGGCAGCAATAGTCTGTTTTGTCCTTAACATGAGCGTTCAAGATTGAAACATAAAAGGATCAGTTTCTGCATTGTGGAATTGTGCAAACTGGATTGTGGTGTGGAACAAGCTATTTGCCACCATGGATCCCTTTTGAAGGCCTTTTTTCTTTTGTTCCCTCTGCTGTAAGAAGTCCTGATCTGAGGCGAGTAGGGAGGCGAAAGTAAGAATTCAGCATTTATCATTTTCTTATCTTGGGTGGTGTTTGAACTAGTTTTGAAAGGAGTAATTTGGCGCTTCAGGAGAGTGCCGACTGATGCTTTAGGCCGTTAAAAAGGCTTCCTGCAAGCTGTGTCCAAATGAGAACTGTTGATGTCAAAGTCAGGGGCTTGAGGTTACTGACCTCTAATCAGGTGTGACTTAGTTTAGCAGAGGGTTTAGTGTTGTAGGATACCCAAGATGTCATGAGCGGTGATGAAGATGGAGTATCTTGAGCTTAGAATTTCAGTCATGATTGTGGCCTCATGTTTAGGAGCTCTTTCTTCGCAGAAGGAGCTTTGCTTGATAGGGCTTTCTGAATCCCTTCCCCCTCCCCAAATGTATTTGGGATGTTTAATGTCGCTGTGAATCTGTCTCTTTTCTTTTTAAATTGAAGTGGTTATGAATCATCCCATTTCCTGCTGCAAATAAAGCAGAAAAATCCTGAAGCAATTGTGTGACTAGCATTAACACAGCTTTGCATGGAGGAAGCACAGCAACATTAGCAGTCAGAGGTGATGTATTGAAGCCTTACAAATATTGTTAAATATTGCCAGGTGTTCTTACAAACAGCAAAAATGCTTTCTGTAGCCGTTTAGGTGAGTAGGGCTTAAACCTGTGTTCAGGTAGACGGGGCCCATGAAAATCTGTGGTGGTTCACTCATCAGATAATACTTGGTTCTTACCCCTCCTTAACTATCGTTTTGATGGAAAGATGGGCTACAAATGGAGGCAAATGTGCTGGAACAAATTAACTGTGGGTGGAAGGAGGGCACTCAAGGGCTGGAAAATATCTGTGGCAAAGCTGTGTGTTAGGTGTGAGAGAGTCTAAACAGCTTTATTTTGCTGTTAGGGTAGTGCTGTGACTCCTTCGTCTGTGTCCCATTAGATGTGCTTTATTCTAGACTCTACATGTGTGTATCTGCAGTAGGAGGACAACAAGTTACACCGAGTACTAGCCTGCAAATTGGCTGAAATAATGGCATTCTGTCTTTAAAAACATTAAAGAGTGTTTTTACTTAACCCCCCCTCACATTTCCTACTGCTTTCTTATTCTCAATAGAGAATAAGAAAGCAGTGAATGTTGGAGAGGTTGGGACCTTTCTGAAGTGCTGTCTCCTCACTGAGGAGAGTGAGCTCCCATCAAGGGGAGCAAAGGAAGCTGAGTGGCAGTGGGGATAGTTTCTATTTTTCGTTTGAATTATGCTCCTTTCTCTATAAGCACAGAATGAATCACTGGTTTTTGTCTATACCCTGAAAAATATTTTTCCATCCACCCACCTGTTTGGACACCATTATAGCTAATACTCCAATATAGACAAAAGTTTTTATAGTACAGGAGCTTAAAATGCAGCAGCCAGAAGTGTCTTTGCAGGAAGAAGCCTAAAAGAATGTGAACCAAAATTACTGTAGGAGATCTAAGAACTTTGCTTTTATTTTGAAAATGGTTTATGAGGCTAAATGAAGTCCATTGTGACAGTAGGTCGTAAAGATGTTCTATTTGCTAATGACCTGTCTCTTGGAGAACTTATAAAGCTTCTACCAAATAAACCAACTTTAAGATAATTTGTTGAGTTGTACAGTGTAGGATACACAACAGTGGGTGTTAATGTGGGCTTAATGAACGATGTATAATAACTTCATGGGCAATTGACAGTTGTCTGTATTAACCATATGGGGTGACAATATTTGTATAAAGACCAAATGATTTAGCAATAGCACCTTGAATTACAGTTTATTTCTTTTGTCGTTTTTGGTTTATTCTTTCCTCTTATGATGAATGTTCTCTTTGAATTTCAGAGTAATTGGTCTGGAAGCTCCCATGATTCAGTCCAATCAAGGAGAGTGGTCATTTCTCACAACATGGATAAAGCACTAAAAGAAGGTGAGTTAGATTATTAGACTCTGAATATCTCTTGTCCTTTTAGCAAACCATGACTGCACAATATTTCAGGATTTTAGAATGTATCCCAGGATTCTTCCTTGATATAAAATAGAAGCACAAGGTCTCGGTCTTCCCAACAGGTCCACTGTAGTAAGTAATGTGATGATGTTTTTGCAGTTTAACTGATAACTTGTTACTTTAGTGGCTGTTTTTTACAGAAATATATTAAAATAGAGCTGTTTTCGTCTAAGATATTTATTTAGCAGGTCATTTAGTTGGATGCATGAGTCCATCCTTACTCAATAACGCTGAAAAAAAGTTACCAATATTTAGGTGATACATTTTTCAGAGTTGAGGACCTTCTGTTGTGACAGAACTTACTTGCTTTTCTGCTAGGTCTTTTCAGAGTAGCGTTTACCCTCCCTTCTCACTCTGAATTTTGGAGAGCAAACTTGTCAGATTTGGTTGTATTTCTTCCAGGCCTAAGTGATGAAGCCAACTTCGCCTCTGATAAGCAGGTTGACAAGGATGAGACTGTACTTTTCACTCTTCCACACGTAGACTTAAGCAAGTGTTTTGGTTTTGGAAGGTGTCCGATTCAACTTAAGTTTGAGATACTGAATGAATCCCAAAAGAAACATTTTGCTTTTGTATTAGAGTAAAATGATCAGTCTGTCTGAAAATTGACAGGACACATTCCTTGCCCTGTGACAGTTCCAAAATTTGCAGTTATTTTGATATTATGAATGCTTTTTTTTTTTCACAAGTTCATGGTAAGATAACTTTCTTACTAATGATATAAAAAATACTGTCTATATTTCTGTTTCTAGTATTACACTGATGAACATTAAAATATTGGTAAATCCCAGGTATTTTTGCCAACTTCTTGGTGTAACCAGATCTAATGTGCTGTTCCACAAAATGCTTTAAAATTCCTCATTCATTTAGTTAGGAGACTTTCAGTTCTCCCGAGGTTTTCATCTTGGAGACCAGTTCAGAATCTGACCACCACTTGAGGTTTAGGGTAGGTGTGGTCTGTGTGGACTTTCCTCTCTGGGTTTAGAGTGGTTCTCCTGAGGTTCTGTGGTATGTCTCGCTTTAAAAGCTGTCACTTGCTTTACTGCCTTTTTCCTGTTAATGTAGTTGGAATGATAGATACCAGTGGTCATCTTCAGTTTTAACTGAAGGAATCATGCGTGTTTCCATTTCAACTGTCTTATTTCAAGAAACATAAAAAACATTATGGTGCTTAGATATCACAGAAAAGCTAGTCGTTGGCTGATAATAGTTGCCCAGGTCTTGGGTAGCTTCTCATCTTGCCAAAGCCAGTGTAACAGAGTTGCTGGGAATTGTCTTTCTGCAATGTAAGTCACCAAGCACCACCAAGAAGGAACTTCTGTTTATGTTGGTTTGCAGCTCAGTTCAAAACTTCTTTCCCATCTCCCACTGACAACAGAGCAGTGTAAAAGGACAGTGCTTCAGAAGTGCTGTTTTATTCTTAATTATTATAATAATTATATATTTATTTATTATATTTTATTATTTATGTTTATTGTAATAATTTTATTCTCAAGCTGCAGATACAAGATGAGGGGAAGTTGTGAATTAGCCCTGCTACTGTGTAGTGTGCTTTATGAAATCTAAGAGCTCAAAATTGGTTCTCATCTTGCCAAAGCCAGTGTAACAGAGATGCTGGGAATTGTCATTCTGCAATGTAAGTCACTAAGTACCACCAAGAAGGAACTTCTGTTTATGTTGGTTTGCAGCTCAGTTCAAAACTTCTTTCCCATCTCCCACTGACAACAGAGCAGTGTAAAAAGACAGTGCTTCAGAAGTGCTGTTTTATTCTTAATTATTATAATAATTATATATTTATTTATTATATTTTATTATTTATGTTTATTGTAATAATTTTATTCTCAAGCTGCAGATACAAGATGAGGGGAAGTTGTGAATTAGCCCTGCTACTGTGTAGTGTGCTTTATGAAATCTAAGAGCTCAAAATTGGACCAAGTGTAACATTATAAAAAGATTTTTTCCTTGTTGAATGTGGCAGAAAGAGAAGGCCTTTTAGTTTAAACCCCTAAGTCCCTTTTTCAGCCAGTAGTACTTGAGTGACTAACACGTTACTGTGGGGTTTTTTTCAGTATTTTTTGTGCTTTGTCTTGATAGATTGATTTGATGATTCTTTGCCCTTCGTTTATCTTATGCAAAGGAAAGATGACCCACTTTCACAAATACTTTTAGCCTTTTAACACTTCCTGTTGCTTATCTGGTAACTTCTTGTGTTTATCCCATATCATATGGTAGTTTGGGACATGTCTCTTCAGAGAGACTGTGCTCAGTCAGACTCGTGCTGCTATTTTTCCGTGCACTGTTTGAACTGAGGGCTGTAGCTGTCAATAGATTTATTTGCCACGTGTGTAACTGATCTCCCAGGAACCGAATTTCATCTTCCATTTTTATTGCCCCATGTCCTGTGGGCTTTTTGTTGGTCTTCACAGTCAGTCTTTGTCTACTTTGCTTTAGTAGTGCCAGGAAGATTGGTCTCCATGTTACGTACCTGCTTTACTGGATCGTTTATGAGTAAGTAAAACAGCACGGGCCATAGCACAAATCCCAGCAGAACACCACTGGTGAAATTCTTCTGCTGTGAAAATTGAGTATTTATTCATATCCTGTGTTTCTTAGCTCTTAACATATTTCATGCCAGAGAGTTATCTTTTCTTTCACAGTGGCTTATCTTCCTTCAACCCAGTGTTGAGGTGACCTTGTTGGGAATATTTTGGGAATTTAATTAGGTTGTACCTGTGGATCAAATCTCACCTGTCTGTTCTTGTTGACCCCTTAGAAGAACTCTCTTAGGGATGTAAGGCAGGACTTTGCTTTACAAAAGTTTTTTCCCAATCTCTCTCATTTCCTGACTTAAGATCCACACATTGACATTTAGGAAAAAAAACTTGCAGTAGCTTCTGCCACTCTCTATTTGAAAAGGTGTATTTATTTTTTTTTTCTCACAGTTCTCAAAAAAAGGAGTTGTTTGCATCCAAAATATGAGCAAGACTTAATTTGAATTCATGTTCTCTCTGCTACTTGGATTCAAATGCTTGGAGCTAAGAACTCTTGGCAAAGGGTGCATGGGCAAAACTATTTGAACAGAAATTTGTTTGATTTTTTTAAAAAAAACGCATGTCCTAGAGCTCTTTAATACATTTTTTTTGTCTATATATTTTGTTTATATATTTGGAAATTTCCGTGTTTTTTCTGCACATTCATAATACTTGTTAAAGAAGCAAATATTGAGAAAATTTTAATAATAATAAACCAAACAATGTGGAATGGGAGACTGTTGGGATATTATCCGGTCTGTGCAGGGGCTGTCTATCTATGCACAGTGATAACATCTAGTCTATTAAATATGTCTGCTTCATAGAGTTTGAATAATGTTGTAAAATGCAAGTAAACCAAGAAATGCTGGTATTTTTCCAAGCATAAGCTTTAGTAAGAGAACTAAAATCTATAAATCACTGTTGCTCATGTGTGCTCCCTGAACACCACCTGCTCTCTCCTGGATGTTCAGGGACACCTTCTCTAGTGAAACATCAGTAAAACTGGCCGCACACGGGTGTTGGCAGAAAGAAAAGTCAGAAGGGTAAAAGATCGTGTTGCCATGGGACTTGCAATTACAGTAATCTTGGCTATTGCTTGTAGGTGTGGTTTGGAGTACCTTGTCATTTTTGAAGTTCATGCTGTCTCACTAATGTACTTGTTCTATCTTATCTCTACCTCTTCTGATCCTATAATGTCCTTTCTTCAGTGTTGTTCAGTATGATATATATCTTTTGAAATCCAGAAATCTTACCACCTCCCCTCTTAACTGACGTTGGAGTGGAGACTGTTAAATTCAGACTGCAACAGCCTAGGCACAGTCAGATTCACATGGTTTGTGTAACCAAATCCACCGTTGAGAGACAGGTATTAGTTTGAGGTTTGTGTGTAGCTGGTAACCTGACTGTCTGAGCAAATCCACTTACAGGCTTTGCTTTGCAAAGTGACCTCCAGTAACCTGTTAGGTGCAGATTTCTGAAACTTCGCCAGCCTTACTTTCTCTGGCAAGAATGTAAAACCCAAAGAAGAAGGTATGAAACCTATTACCCATCTAATTTTTGAGCAGAAGGGTGATGGACTGCATTTTTCCTGTCTTGGTGTGCCTTCTCCTTTTTGCAGTTTTTGGCTATTTACTGTTTTGTTTCTCCTTTCAGTGTTTGACTACAGCTACAGAGATTACATCCTGTCCTGGTATGGGCAACTCAGCAGAGATGAAGGGCAGCTGTACCAGCTGCTCTCGGAAGACTTCTGGGAGGTTGCCAAGCAGCTGCGACAGAGGCTGAGTCACATTGATGTAGTTAAAGTTGTCTGCAATGATGTAGTGAAAGCTTTACTCTCGCACTTCTGTGACCTTAAAGGAGCCAACGCCAGGTAAAAACAACACTCTGCATTTCATTGGAATTTTCTGCTTCTCCCTTTGCTTTCAGATGTGCTGTATCGAAGTAATGAAGAGTGTAATGCTTTTGTAGGCAACTGATAAAGAAAACAGTTCAAGTTTGTTGTCAGTTTTAGAGATGAAGCAGGCTTCAGGGCATCTAAAAGACCTGTGGAAGGAAACGCTTGTCCTCCTTTTTTTCACATTTTGGATTCACTGCTGTTTCTGTTTCATCCTTGAATCCTTTGCTCACAGCAGGAGGTGGGCTGTGGGAGCAGTTCCTGCAAGCAGGGTGAACCTGCAAGGGAAAGGAGAGGAGCTGTCAGAGCAGTCAACAGACAAGAAGATAGTTATTTGCACCTTCCCCAAAATAGCACTGGGGTTAGTTTCGTTCATTTTTCCATTTCTTCTAGCCCCGGGAGGCAAAGCCCTGTGGTTTCTGTAAGTGGCCTGTCCCTCAGTAACAAGATTTTTCTACTGGAAAAATTGTTGGCTGGATTTTCTTTCTCTGTTTAGGTTTTCTAGCTAATTCCATGAATTTCCTTTTTGGCAAGTCTCTCTTTGTCCACTTAAAAAGGTCAGCTGTCCACTAAATACTAAAGTTGCACCCAAATTGTAATTGCAAATGGGAACTCTTAGCCTATGCAGTTCCCACATCTGAATGCACAATTTGTGTAATTGTGCATGGAATCTGGGCTTATGCCTGCACTTACCTGCATTTCAGTTATCCTCATTGAAATGGGCTTTGGTCATTCAGATTTAGAGTAAACATTTTATATTATGAAGTTGTTTTGCGTACAGTTAAAGCCACATATTTTTAACACCTCTTCAGAGGAAAAGGATCAACTGTTTTCTTTCAGTGACCATTCACACTTTTGCTCTGAAGCAGAAGATACGGTTAACATATTTGCGGTCGATGCCAGCTTTATATAAGCTAATGTGTAGGAAATAAAGACCAAAAAAAAGAAACTGAAGGGTGGTTACATTCAAGAAAAGAAATCAAGGTGTTTGCACATTGCAGTAGCTCTTGCATTGAATTCCAGATACTATTTTTTTTCAGCTCTGGAATGTGGAATCTCTTGGTCAGGTAAAGCTCCTAGGTGTGATCCCTGATTTTTAAACCTTATGTTTGCACTTGCCCTTTATTGCAGTAAAGCGCTTCCTTTTTGGGAAGAGTTTGATTTGAACAGTAAAAGGATGAGGATGTTTTGTATTTCTTAAAAATTGTGTTTGAACCTGGGGACACAGAATCTACAATTGCAGAAATATTAATTATTAATGTTGATTATTGATGAGGTTCCTCATCTACTGAGAATTATGACCGCTTCCTCTAGGTCTTTGTTAGATTGTTATTTCCATTATATAGAGCTAAAATAAATTATGTGGGGTATTTTCCACGTAATGTTTTCACTTTGGAATGGGAAGTGCACCTCAGTCAATGCTGGATAAGGCAGGCTGAATTAACAATGGTAATGAAAAATATCCTATCAAGAATTAATGGGATGGCAGGTTAAAAATAACCAGTAAACCCCACAGCTGTAACTGCAGACCTTGTATATGTTGAAAGTGGCCTCGATGACTGTTTTTCGCATCCTGCAAAGCTGTGAATTCACACAAGGAGGAAGGTCTGGTTTTAAGGTGTCTTTGCAGCAGATCAGTGGCATGATGCTGCATGACACACAATGTGAAGCTCAAAAAGTCCGGGATTCTTTACGGAAGTTGCACAGGACTCACCTTTTCTTGACCAATGGAGAGAGGGCTTGAATGTCGTGTATGTGCTGGGATAAAGTCAGCAGGAATGTGACACTGTGCTCATACTCTACAGATGGAATTTATACTGCAGATTATCTGAGAATGCACGAAATAAACCTGGAAGCACAGCCAAAGACTGATGCTGTTTTCTCTTTAAGGGAACTTGTATTTTTAAGAATAATCTGGGTTTTGCACTAAATTGCCTGCTGCCATGGAGTTTACTGTGGTAGAACCTGCTGACATTTTAAGCTATAGACTGAGAACTACAAAATATGTCACTTCTAGCTTGGAAGACAGACTTTCTTGGAAAGCCTTCAATTAATTTCTGTAATGCCACAATTCAAGCACAGAACATTCTTCTTCCAAAAGTAGGGAACGCAGAGATCTTCTTGATCTACCTTTGCTTTCTGTCAGCCTTTTAAAGACGGTAGTAAATTTAAGTTGGCATTCACGTGTTTCCCTATGTGTCTCAGATAATGAATCCAGTTAGTTTTGGATGGTAAATATAGTGGAATAGAGACTGTAATTAGAGCAAGGTTCTGTCCTGTTGTGATGCCTGTTGGAGCACCACATCTCGTTTCCCCTGATGCGTTTATACTGCAGTGTGACAGCAAAGCACTTTCTCAGTTATCCTGGTGGCTTACAAAGGTTTAAATACCTCTCGTGCCATCTCTGGAGGGGGTGCCACCTGAGCTTCCTGATATGACAACAGATAAATCCACTGGAGTAACGGAAGGAAACAGTCTGTGCCCAGGAGGACGGAGATGTCAGTTTCTTCACCGTGAAGCTCACATGTTTTGTCACTGGCTGCACGTCAGCCGCAGAAACCCCTTTCCTTTTCTGCTCTCACTGGCTAACTTTGTCCTGTGATATCTGATGGGTCAGGATGTGTGAGAGGATGAAAGTAGGCTGCGACCTTTCAGAAGGAGGAAGGGTGCTACAGCCCTTCCCTCTGTACCTGCTTTCCCTCGGCCTTATCTTCAGCATCGCGAGGCTCCGCTTAGCAACAAACAGCTCAAGGTAAATGGCCAGCAGAGGCCAACAAATGAGGAAAAATGCTTCCCTGAATGAGGGGGAGCCTGTAAAGAGGAGAGGGCCCTTCCACGCTGGCCAGTGGGCAGGAGAAGCCTGGCAGCATTAAGTCTGTTTTAATGGCGACTGTCTTCACAGAATCACAGAATCTTCTAGGTTGGAAGGGACCTTAAAGATCATCTTGTCCAACCGTCAACCTGACTGACAAAAATAGACACCCACACAACAAACAAAGAGCATCATCTCTAAACCATACCTCCCAGCACTACATCAACCCATCTTTTGAACACATCCAGGGATGGTGCCTCAACCACCTCCCTGGGCAGCCCATTCCAATGCCTGATAACCCTTTCAGTGAAAAAATTTTTCCTAATATCCAGCCTGAACCTCCCCTGGTGCAACTTGAGGTCTTTTCTGTGCCTGCCAGGCACCTCCACAGAGTGAAATAAGGGCAGAGACACACCAGCAGCCGTGGACAGACCTGCCTGGGGTGACAGAGCCACGCAAGCTGTAGACAAGATAACTCCCAAGTTTTTCATCTTACGTGTGTCACTGGAGTGTACCTTGAGGTCCAGTTGGGGCTCCAAAGGGTCCTGTCACTTCTCAGTTACAAAATTTGTGGCAATTCAGAATGTTTTAGATAGGAAACAATTTCATTCCTATTATTAGCTTTGCATAGAAACAGAATATGATACTTCCCTGTTTCGAGTGTTAGCTGGTTTATGAGTTTGAGATATGGAAGAAAAATCAGCCTCGGATTTATTGGCAGAAACCACTGCTCTTTTCCTCTGTGCTGTACAGAATCGGGAGCGCATTTGTAACGGGATTAGCCAAGTGCATCCCGCAGGGTAGAGAGGGTAGTATTTGGCCATTCTTGTTTTATAGCAGCTTTTATCCCTTCATTCCTTTATATCTTGTTCAGGTGTCTTTCCTTGGCTACTTTAGGCAGAACAAAAGCAAGCTGAATGCTGGCAGTGCCATTTTATGTGATCAAGGATGGGCTGTGAGCTAAGTGAGGTGGTGTCTTATGCTGGAAGCGTTCATGTTGGTGTGTGGATGCAGCATTGTCTGTGGTGGCACTGTACCTTCCGGGGGCTAGAATTATCTGATCCCAGAAATGTAGTCTTTCTTTGGTAACGTGGTATGTTTGTTGAAAGCAAGAGGCAGCTATTCCCCTGGATGAAATGCACAGTCAGCATCGAAGGATTTAGCAAGTGAAAACAAATAGTAAGGGTTCTTTCTGTGAAGCTGTCCACATCAGAGGAAGAGGAGGTTCCCTTATGCTTATTGTGGGCTAAGAATAACCACATCAGATATTAGTACAGAACTATTAACACTTGAAAAATTAACAGCCTGTGCTGGTGGTCTCTAAACTGCAACGTAAGCAAAGATTTGCCTACATGACATCAGTAGGCAAATGGGATTTGAAGATAGTTAATCCTTGCCTCTTCTTGAACGTCATGACAGGGAGTGTTTTTTGAACAAATCTCAGTGAGAAAAGGTCACAGTGACACTGATTTTATTTTTTATTTTTTTTTCTCCTACATCTTTCGGTTGGGAGCGTTCTCTCTTTGTCTTTAACCTGCAGCTGGGGCACCTTGATTCCAGAGGCAGAGGAAGAATTGGTTTCTGCACATAGGCATCTGTGATCTTGCAGGCTGCAGCTGGGGCACCTTGATTCCAGAGGCAGAGGAAGAATTGGTTTCTGCACATAGGCATATGTGATGTTGCAGGCTGCTTCTGGCCAGTCAACTGCTACATGACATCTGAAGGGATGCTCAGAAGTGTTTTTTGGTTTTTTTTTTGTGTATGTCTGCCTCAACTTGTGGCCTAAGTCATGACTTAGCAAAATGAATGCATGGGGGCTGCAGGCTACTCCCAGTGGTGATTCAGAACCCATATTTAAGGGCTCAAAGCTCTTGGGAAGTGTGAGGGGGGGAAGTGGTATTTCAGTGGTCAGTATGACAAGCAATTTGGGGATTTAAGTTTGTATTGTACCTGTTTTGATAATATTCCTTTTGTTTTCTATATATTACTGACAGGGTAAGGAGGGCTGCTTCTGGCCAGTCAACTGCTACATGATATCTGAATGGATGCTCAGAAGTGGGTTTTTTTTGTGTACGTGTGCCTCAACTTGTGGCTTAAGTCATGACTTAGCAAAATGAATGCATGGGGGCTGCAGGCTACTCCCAGTGGTGATTCAGAACCCATA